CCAGTTTTTGAATTATCTCCCCTTATAGAAAAATCTTGTCCGGGAGATAACTCTAAAACTATAAGAGATATCAACATGAAACTTTGTAGGTGAATAGATCTCAATGGGTAGATGTGCAGTGCATAAGAACAATAACTCTTTTTGTCCTAATTTTGGAGTTATTGCCCTTTGTTAATTTCAACACTTTGAACTTTGTCCGGAACATAAGAGATATCAAGATGAAACATTTTAGGTAGATAGATCTCATTGAGTAGAAGTGCAGTGCAAAAAAAACCATAACTCTGTTAAGCCTCATTTTTGAATTATCTCCCCTTTTAGAAAAATCTTGTACTGGACATAGCTGTAAAACTATAAGAGATATTAACATGAAACTTTGTAGGTAGATGTATCTCAATGGGTAGATGTGCAGTGCACGAGAATCATAACTCTGCCTTGCCTAATTCTGGAGTTATTGCCCTTTGTTTATTTTTACTTTTTGAAGTTGTCCGGAACATAACTCGGAAACCATAAGAGATATCAACAAGAAACTTTGTAAGTTGATCGATAACAGTGATTAGAAGTGCAGTGCAAAGAACAGTAACTCTGCCTTTCCTAATTTTGGAATTATTGCACTTTGAACTTTTTCCAGGGACATAACTCTGAAACTACAAAAGGTGTACTTTCCTGTGTCCAAAACCTATTCGGGGAGCATCACCCGGCTCAAACTGGGCTCTTGTTTTATTTATACTCAAGCTTAAATTTTAAGGTAAAAACCATCATAGAGTGTAAGATTGTGGATTGAGATACCAAGCACAATGATCTCTGAAATAAATTTTCATAAAGTAGACGGTTCTTCTTAAAGTACCACATACAAAGACAGAAATTATTCATATATGTAAAAAAAAAAGAAAAAAGTAATTATCTTTCGAATTTGAAAGTTCAGTAAAATATCTGGTTTAGCTTGTTGGTTTTACATAAATTTTGCAAACAGTTCTCTTTTTTTATCACCATAGCAATCAAGATAATTCTTTTTCTCCATGCCTGGATTTAACTTGATAAACTGTCCTGAACCATACATTATTGAGCTGAATTTAGCAGCCTCAAATAAATGTTGCTAAGTAACAGAGCAACACAAGCAAAATGTTGCCATGGAAATGTCCCGCCATTCGATTTTTGTGTGCCGCTGATATGGCTCATACAAATAACACTGCATTAGTTCGATATAGCTCAGCAGTGATAGCTCTGAATATATATTTTATATTTTCGGGAGAATTTGTGAAAGCCCGCAGTGGCTTGAAAGTTCTCTCTATGAATGCACTTGCATCAAAAGTTCTCGATTTTATTTGGTAAAAAAAAAAATTAATGGGGGGAAAAAAATCCAGAATCACAATAAACATACATTGTAAAGAAGATGAATTAATTCTCTAGAAGGTTATATCTTCCATTAAAAGGTTTATTATAATGCTTATGTGTGACAAGCTAGATTTGAAATTACATCCCTCCAAAAATGAACAAAAATTTTGAAATTTAACTGAAGAAAATTGAAAGAATTGAATAAATTTCTGTAGAAATTTTATTCCTCTGGTTTTACATGAGAATGAAATATTCATCTTTATCATTTTATTATATTCTATTACATTTTAGTGTACATTTTCAATTCTTGGCAGTCTAAAATTGGTGTTGCTTGAATTATTCTATCTTTGTCTTGTAATTTTTGTCTGATTTGCTTGTAGTTTAAACTTTTATATGGCGTAATTTTTAAAAAAACTTGTATTGAGATGAGATGTATGAAAGTTGTGAGTTTTGGGTAAGTTTTTTTTATGAAATTTAGAAATATGTAGAAAATAATAAATTATTATTTTCCATGATGGCATAAAAAGTTCCATTATTTCATTCTTTGGCATAATTTTGATCAAAGGATTACTTATACTTCAATATATTAAAAAAAAAATCTTAAATGTTAAATTTTAAAGGGTTGCGAAATATCAGATCTTTGAAAATAGTTAAAAATATTTTTGAAATACTGCTTAAAATAAGGAAAGTGAATGTAAATTTTTCAGTATTGTCTTAGCGTTGTAATCTTATTAGCCTCCCACATATCAATATCCTGGAAAGTTAGAGATCGGGAAGTGATTGATTTTTAGACAGCATTCTTTCTTTGTATAATATCCTCATGCAGCAGCTGGAGTTGTTATTTTGGTTTCCATAGTGACGCTTTCAGTATTTATGTACATTTAAATGGGGGAAATAACTTGTTTCACTGCTGGGATGTAAATCGAGAGGATTTCACACACCGGCTGTTACACGCTTGACGATCACTGACAAATGACACTGTGTACGGTTGCCATGGATACTTGACAGCTATTGGTTAAGATGAAATTTCGCATAACTATCTCTGCCCCAGGGCTAACTTGTGTTAGAAAATTGACAGAAAAACGTGTATGTCATTTTTGTTTTATATACGTGGTACTTTATTTTTTTTTGTCAAAACATCTCATGTGGAACTGATATACTTTATTTCTAAGGATATGCTTCTAAGTTAGTTGTCAAGTATGTGTATATACTCTTTAGCAAATAATTTTAAATTTTATACATAATAACATTACTTATATTGTTTTGTAGAATATATCTGGTTATGTTTTAAAACATTATCTTTTTCATCTGTTATTTTAACATTAATTGAATTTTACTTTAACATGACCTGTGAAATTTTCTTTAGGCTACTACTTCAGTAATCATCATACTGCAGCTCTAGTTTATAAATGATTTAGTCCTAGCAAATTGGTACTCTTAAGTAGATAATAGAGATAAAAGTTTATATGAAGCTCTTGTATCTAAATTTTTGCAATCAATGTACACAAAATGCCAAAGATGTTTAGTATCATTTTGGTCTGTAACTGTAAAATAATTGTGTTGTCATGTTTCAGCATCAGCAGGTTATAAAAAAAGATGGTTGAAATAAAATGTAAAGAGTAATAACTAATCCGTTTGAGTTCTTAATGTAATCAGATTTAGCTAGTTTTCAAACCTTTTGCTAAACACTGTTTGTACATCTTATAATATTTTGTCTGAAGTATTTTCACCCCTTGTGGCTAAGGGTTGAGGCATCAGAACTGCAGCCACTGTTTATCGCTGTGTGATCATAAGAGATGACTAAATAGGTCCTAATTACTGAAGTCTCTGCATCTCTTACCTCCAACAGGTAAGGTGGTTTTGACCAATGGTGTTGTTTTAAGTTTGTAACACCTGAGGTTAGTCAAAGTCATCTTTCCTGTTCTGGCGCCATATGACTTCAATTGTATTGGTGCACCGTAAAACAAAAGAAGAGGCCTGCTGCACCAGTATTTTATTTCTTTAACTTTAAAAATTTGAGTTGTGCATTTTTGCTACCATTATGTAAATAAGTTTTTATGCTGCATAGAAGTTATTCTAATAAGAAGTTTTTGTCATGCATCAAGTTAGATAGGAGCTTTATGGTCTAGGAAGGCTAATGCTGTAGATATAACTTTTTATTGCCAGTGTCTTATCAGTGAATTTTACTTGCCATTCCAGTTACTTTTCAGCCAGATCTGACAGCAAACTGGTATACTATATTAACAGATCATTAACATTTGGTGATGTTCTGAGACAATAGAGTAAAATGTATTCAAGTTACCTTAAAATTAGTTCTGAAAGCATGACCTTTGTAAAAATAATTAGCTTTCTGGAACAACACATTGGATTGAAATATGTTTGAAGGCTGAGGCCTTTGCCAACTTGCTTCTCATTATCTTCTAGCTGCCGGGCCATCCAAGAAAACTGACAAGTATTAAATTTTGGTCATCAAACATTAACTTATAGAGTCCATAGTGCAGGCCATGCTTCTGCATAAATGTGGTTTAAGACATGATCTGTCTAATATCATTCCTTCTTCACCTTGTTTCAAAGTTTGAGAAAACATTTTTATTAAATCAGGCAAAATTAAAGCCTTGCATAAAATGTCGACCATCATTGAATTATTATCCATAATGCTCGTTTTAAAAACAATTTTAATGGCATTTCTGGACTTTAATTGACACCATGTGCTTTTTGAGTGGTGTGAGAGTAACTCCCCTTTAGTTAGTTTCATTCAGTCTACTTTTAATTAAACTATTCATGGAATTTAATGATTGAAAATATGTGAAATAAATTGATGGAACACATTGCATTGCCAGTTAAATATTATAGATATCAATCCATTTTACATGTTCAGCATATTTCATACAAGAGAAATTAATGATCCTTCTTGCAGCTACAAATGGCTGTCCAGAGTAAAACTTTAAAAAAAATTCATTGTGACAAAATTCTTCAAATATTACCCCACATTTATTACCAACACTTAAATTTTTTACAAGCTGGTTGAAATTGGCCAATTATGTTGATACAGGAGCTAAAATATGAAGATCAAGTTTCAGTGAGGGTGACATTTAAATCCAAACTTTAACATTCACCTAGAAACTATTACATTTTAAACTTGAAAGATTGGGGCAGTAAATAATTGTTAACATTTCATCAGTAGCTTAAATGCTTTGTAAACTGTTCAAAGGTTAAATTTAGTATGTGGGAGCTAGATAGAAATATTTATTAGACTTTGATATGTTTGGCTTCTACTATCTGAAAAGTGTTATCATTTATATATAATGTTAGATAATCACTGTTATAACTGCCAATAGATCTGAACTATTTTTCATTAGATATACAAGAAGTGTATAATTTAACCGTTATCTGTGTCATTAATCTAATCTACTAGATGATAATTACTGCATAAAAATTGGGACAGCTCTTATTGTCCTGTATTTATCAGCCCTCTATCTGCATGCTACATATCTCCCTGTGGGCCAGTATCCTGTCGACTGTATAGCTGAATTCTTATTAAATTCTGTTGCTAGGACAACCGTGGTCTGTTGCCATGGCTATGATGCCTGTGTTGTTAAGATGCTCTATCTCATAACGCATAATTGCCCCAGTGGCTGATGGGATAGCAAAGTTAGTACACATCTCTGCTGTGTTACACTTCAGTACACACTTTAGTTGTGTTTATTATTTTTCGGGAGGAAGGAAACTGTTTGACAAAAGTATCCCACAATTCAGTTTGATGATGTGGTACATTGTTAGGGAAGCCATTTTGTGTCTCTGGATTTTATCTTATTAAATAAGTGTCAGAAATAACTAAGAGAAGTAGTTGAAAAGTTTTTGTTGGATTTAAAATAAGTAAAACAAAAGTTATTCTTTAGGATAAACCAGCTGACATCATTTCATTGCTAATATTTTTGGTAAGATTTTTGTTTTCTTAACATTCAGATTACAGCTCGTTTAAGAGGGAAGAATATGTATTTCATTTCCTTATATTTATAAGTTATAAAAAGTTTTAAAACTTCAGGGATGACAACTTTAGTATGTCCTTCATAATTGATATTCTCTTTTTGGTTTTAACTAGAAAGGTCACAATTTGTTGAGTGATATTTTTTAAGGAAGTAACGAAAGATTTAGATGTATAAGGATGCCTCCATGTTCTTTTAAATGTAAGTCAAATCTCTGTTCTATTTAAATTTTTAAATAAAGCAAACTTGGTTTTTACTGTAGTTAATAAGATAGAATATCAAACAGCTTAGAAGATTTTATTATCTTAGATTACAATCAGTGTTATGGTTGTGAAAGTGTATAAAATATCAGCATAATAGCTTGTGCAAATAGAAAGACAGGAAATGTTTCCTTTAGTCAACAAAGACGGTCTTTAGGCACTTAAAAAGACGGCATTAATCCAGTTTTATCAATGATATAATATCACCACTTGCTTTTTAAAATGTCTCTTTTAAAGTTGAAAAGTTGTAAAAACCACATTGCCTTGGTAAATACTAAGTTACTCTAATCTCTAAGTAATGAGTTAACTGATTTAGAATCTACTAAAATGAATTATAATCCGCGTTCAATTAAGGGGTGAAGGGGTGGGCCCGGGCTGTCCGTTAACAATATAAGGGATATAACAGTGAAACGTTTGATGGTTTGATGTTGTGACTAGCCTGACAATATAGTGGTGGCAAAGATTTTGCTATCGTAGGCTTAAAATTTTAAAATTCTGGTACTAAGTAATGTTGTCAACACTGTGTATATATACATCCATATGATTGTTCTTAAAAAGAACATGGTGGTTAAATAAATAGCCATTAATTTAAATAATGTTAATGACTGACACACATTAGTATTCATGTATAGTGACAAGAAATATTTTATCTTTAGAGTGCAGCACAGCCTTACTTGTTGTCACAAAGTTATTTGAAGCCATTACATTATCAAAAGATTTCAGTCACTTGTTCAACAAAACTAAAAATTGTAAAAATGGAATCTTATAAAGCTGTCTTACTAAGGTCGGTAAGAAAGGGTCGGTGTACGGAACGAAAAGGTTGCAGATTTGACGAACCTCATCATAGACAGTAGTATTGAAGTGCAGATCACCTTCTGCTTTCATTGAACCATACCTCGCTAAATATTTTAAATGCACATGTCCATCTTACAATCTGGACATTTTTAGGGGTAAATTTCAAAATATGTATTAATACAGAACAGTGCAGATCATTCAGACATCAATGATATGTCGACTGATTTAGGTCTGCACAGTCACATCTAGGCAGATTGTGAAGCCACCAGCGGGCTAAAGGTTAATTAGGTACTTCAGCAGAATCCAACATCTAAACAGGGTAAATATTAAAATACATTATTTAGATGACATGTTTTTGGAAGATAGAGAAACATGAATAAATATGACAGGTAATATGACTGCTAGCATCTGTTCCATTCCAGTAAGTTTGATATTAAATAAAAATCCATGTCTTTGAATAGCTGGGAGGGGAGAGTTAAAAACTTTTACAGAAAGTTCCATCTTATCATAAGACTTGAATTTATGTTTAATAACTGTCTTATGGGGATCCGCTATAGAGAAAATCAGACTAAACAAATCTGCTGGGACTTAAAAAATCTCAGAATGTTATTCAACCCTCTTCATATAAAAGAAAAAAGACTTGAGGTTTAATTGCTCAATAAAAGGTTGAATTACCTGATAAAGATCAGAGACTTTGTTTTTCTTGATGGTTTTTAAACACTTTTTATAAGATTAATCTTTCTTTAAAGAGATATCGTTATGTATTAACTCTACCTGAGACTGTTCTATAAAGAATTCTTCAAACACCTGTTTATTGATAGATTAACAAAAGGTGGCTTCCTGTCATGAAATTGTTGACACAAGTAAATGGTTTGATAACATGATTATTACATTGATCTGAAGTATCATTGAAAGATTCCTCTAAATCTTTTTGTTTAACAAACTGTAAGATTTGGCTTACCTGTAATTCTTATTAATTAATGCAGTTTTTCTTTAAAAAAAAAATCTCACCGTAACAAATATGAGAGGAACACTAGACAACATTGGAACAAGTTAAAAAATGAAAAAAACAACTAGTTCCAGGTATGCACTACCCTTTCTCACAGTTAATGTTAAATTTAGTAAAGGTTATAATAATTTTCTAGGCTGACATGACATAATGTACTTTTGTAGTTTTTTGTCAATTTTATGAATTTTGAATTGCCATCATTTTAAGCTCAAGGTATTAAAGTTTTGCAGGACAGAAGTACATGTGTCAAATGGCCATTCATAAGAACATATGGCACTGGGTCCGAATTGTAGAGATGATTTATCCATGTAATCTTTGACACTGTTGATAAGATTTAGGGATTTAATAGTTCTCAAGCCATGATGTAAAGTTAAATTTATATAGAATTATTTTAATCATTTATTAAAACAGGTATATTTGCGAATATGCTTTGCAACACAACATTATCACACTTCTTTCATGGTGTCAAGTCCATTATGTCATAAATATTTTGATTAAACTTTGGTAATAAACTTAACAAGTAAAATATGTTAGTTTGGCTTTATGACCCGAGACTTATCAATAGAGTAGCTCATATACCTAACCATAAAAATGTTTATTACCTTAAAAATTGTGGTAACATTTACTCTTAAATACTAGTATTGCACTAATAAAGCCATAAAGTCTGAAGTTTTGTCAATCTTCAACTGCAAATAGAAGGCCTTTTTGTCATTTAGATAATAGTAAATGCAGTACTATGACTACCAATAAAATTTGATGAAATGCGCTGTAAATTGTCAAACTTTTAGGTGTAACAGAATAAAACGTAAAATAAAACATTTACATCCATTCTGAGAAAATATAGGACTTTTCTAAGAAAATAAAGGATTTTCCAAAGAAAACACAATGTGTAGGACTTTTCTAAGAACACTTAGGGCATGCAGACATAACATTCATAATTTCCCTTTTGTCAATCTTACTAATATTTTGTTTTAATCAAAATGATTATTAACCAAGTAGGATTTGAGTTTTATAAAAAAATTATAAAAAGGGAAAGGAATGTAATTGATAAACATATGCAAAGAGTCCATCTGCATAATATTCTGGTGTCAAAATTGATAGTATGTCAAATACTTGTGATAATCATCTAGTTGCTTTACTTGTTGTATACAGGTTGTCATGACAGCCATACGTTTACCTTGGCAACCACATTTTACTGCAGGGCATAGTAGTTTTCTTTACATTCATGATTTGTTATATATTAACTGCCTTTTTGGAGGAAGTAACTACTGATTTCAGGTTGATATAGGATATTATCACTACAGCAGTCTGTTTGAATCATTAAGATAAACAGAAAATATTTCATTATTTTTGATTCCCACATGATTATTTTATTAAATTGCTGATTTATCAATTTACTAATCATTATAAATCATTTAAAAGTCTTCATCGATATTTTGCCATCTGTATGACTTCCTATAGTAAATGAATTATTTATATATTTTCTACTGTCGTAACATAAACACTTACGGCTTAACACAATATTTTATTAAATTCAGTTTAGGGTATCATAAGCCAAATTTCTAATTTTTAATAACCTTTGAAAATGACATTTTTTACCTCCAATTTCTGCTTAATAAAAATTCATTGTTAAACTTGAATGGAAATTTGTGATGACTGTTTGTTAAATTAATACATACCCTGTCACTACCAGGCTAGGGGTTAAACAGCATTTAACACTGTATTTTTTATCAATTTATTTACCTTCTTTAAGCTTCTCAGTGTCACCAGCTTTATCAACAGATATTATCTGGGGACTTTGCACAGTTTTGTTAAGGATTTTACCACTTTAAACAAACCCTCTCCCCTGTTTAAGGGATTATGATGATATGATGATAGTAAATTGATAGGCTATGTGTTTGACTTGATTGACACATGATATTGAAATTCAGACATTATTAATATCATCACTATCTCCCATATATATAACATATTTAGAAAAGAAAATGCTTTATTCTGTACACAGGTCAAGATATTTGTCTTTGAAACAAGCATTGTTACATTTGCTATTGCATTTTATGATGTATCATCTTTCAAATACATTCCTGCCATTCCACAAGTTAAAGAACAGATGTATACAATATATGTGTGTATACTATTTAGACAATCAATCATCATGTTAAAGGCAATGAACATGTAATTGTTCAAATGTTGTATAAAGAATTGCATTGACCATTTGGACATCTGAAGTGTGCCATTTCATTTTTCACATGTTAATCAACTTTGAACTTAAATTTTCTTTATAAAATTGTTTCTCAAACAACTTTAAGTTTTGATTGATGTTAAAACATCAAAAGATTAGTTAAAGAAATATGTTTTCACAGTTGGTACTTGTTTGGCCTGGCCAGACCCAATAACTGCAACCCATATGATATTATCACCTGTTACACATCATAGGAAGTTATAGCCAATTATCAGCACCAATTAATGACCAATATTGCCTCCTATTGTATTCATTGTTAAAATGTCAAACTGTGATACTTGCCTGTCAATCAATTTCTCAGGGGATGACAGGTTCTCCTTTAATACAAGTAAGTAGGGGGTTCAAACTTTGACCTTAGTTGGATGAAAGTTGACACTAAATCTGTTTTGCTTGCAAGTGTATAAGACATAGATTCAGAACTGTGCATTTTATAAAGTAAATAAATAAGAAACTTAAATACTGGTGTTAATTTCTGAAAGAGAAATGCTTACTGAAATAAGGGATTTACAATAGGAATAAATCAGTAAGTAAATGTTTTAAAAATATTTATACAACTAATATTGTTTTAAGTAAGTAGGCTATATACTAAGCAATGACTGTTATATATGCGTACTGACTTCTAGACCGATTTGACTTCTATATATAATGATAAGAGTATCCTCTGTTCCCCAGTAATAATCAATATGTGAAACAAATTTCATTTTTCTCCCCTAATAATCTTTTATAATATTTGTATTTTACACCAATAGGAAACTTGTTAACTGCACATAAATAATTGAAAGGAAATCGCTGCAGTGCCAGCATTAAGAGGTGATGAAAAAAAAAAAATGTGCATTAGTAGAAGCCATAGTTCTTTGTGTCATGTGATGCTAGGTTTCCATGGCTACATTACAACAAATATGGAGGATAAAACTATAGGATTCTGTGTTTTGAATCTTGTCTTAAAATCCAATCTTTGACATGAAATAGCCATTGCAGAAAATTGATAAATTAGTGATCAGTGTTATTAATTGGTGTAGTTAGAAATATGATGCTGTGATAAGACAAGATCTGACGGATGTACCGCTGTTATTGACGACTTCAACAGTAGGCTTCATGTTGCTTTATTTATGTGACTTTTCAACTATTGACATTTTGTATTGGATTTATATACCTACTGTACAAGATGGCTGAAAATTTGTAATATTTAAAAAAAACAAACTAAGTTATGAATATTAATGAGTTTGGGTTTAGTCATTAGACATTATACCTGTAATCTCGCCTGTTTTTGTTCTCCGATAGAATAACAAGTTGATTACTTAAGACTGTCTCATTTTTCGATTGATTCTTTATATAGTGATGACTGTCTCCTGCCTTGACTCATTACAAGGCACGCAACTTTATTAAATAACCATTTGAGCAAGGCTTTATTATAAACAAATTAAAATACAAGTAGAACAAATTAATAGTGAAATAAACGGCAAGATTGAAAAGTTTGATTTGAATGGAAAAGCGAAGGTTATTAATGAGATGAAGGTAAAAAGAGCTGAAATTTGTAAGTGAAGATGGAGAAGAAATGTTGATGTAAACTAGAGATTGGTAAATTTAAGATTAACAGTGATTAAAGAAAAGGGCGTGACATTTTTAATAAAGAGGAATTTTAAACTTGAAACTTGTTGCGGATGACAGATATCAATTTAACAAGTTGATTTAAAATCTGATTGGACAGAAAATCGTGTACATTTGGTATCAGAGTACAATTTGCAAGTGTGTGAAATGATTGAAGCGGATTTTGATATTCAGATTGTCTCTATGGTTACTGATGCTTTGTATTTCAAAAGGTAATGGCGGATAAATGAACGCGTAAGGAAAGCAAAGACAGATGTGCTCATGCATGAATAAGCGATAAATGGTCGGGATTGTGTGTTCACGATAGAGATCGTGGCGTGACTCTTAATTAAGCGATGTTGATTTCTTTATACAAATTTTATGCTAGTCAAGAAATGCTTGTTTAATCAATTGCCTAATTATTTATTCTTATGGTATTAAAGAATGTGATATTTCATTTTATAACACCAAGTTATGTTGGCTAATTGATTTCATTAATAATTTATGGAATTAATTCATTTAACTAGTGAAAAAATGGACATACTTGATATGTATAAAAAAGGGTATGATTCTCACATAACAAATAATAGATTAATACTGACTCCATAGGTTTTATATATATAATTATACCTTACTTTAAATTATGAAAAGAAAATCAATATATTAAATCATTATAATTAATTTGTGCCAAAATAAGAATCTATTATTGAGATGAATATTATTTTTTAATTTCAGACTTGGGTTTGAGTCGCAGTTCGAATTAAACATGCCGTGCCGGAACTTGGAGGAGAGTGATGCTTCCATGCGGCAACGTCTGGTAAACAGCCTCAGTCAGAGTTTTCCTGGCAGTGCTCTCTCTAAAGCTCTACAATGTATGAACGATGATGAGGATATGAAAGATCCATTGAGCTCAAGTTGTTTTGCTGAGCTAAGGTTAGATAAGGAGGTACCCGATGAGGATGATGAACTTACAAGTCTGTCATGGTTACAAGATAGCAACTTGCTTAAAGACATTAATGCGGGTGAAGATGAAGATATGAAAGAAAATGGTGATATTAAACTTGAACCCGGCTATGCTCAGACACACCCATCACATGTGCCATATAATCCACATAAACATATAAATAGTAAACCGCCATACTCATTCAGTTGTTTAATATTCATGGCTCTTGAAGAGTCACCAACAAAAATGCTTCCAGTAAAAGACATTTATCAGTGGATTTTGAATCATTTCCCATACTTCCAGAATGCTCCTACTGGGTGGAAAAATTCTGTTCGTCATAATTTGTCGTTGAATAAGTGCTTTAAGAAGGTGGACAAAGATCGTGGCCAGGTGAGATATGTATGTTTTTTCTAAGTAACTTATTGTTTAAGTAATGATTTTATAGTCTACGTAGTTTATGAAATTTATGTGGTGTCTGATTGTTAAAAATGTCATACCTTACAAAATTAAGTAAATTTTTTTGATAAAATAAAAAATTGATGCAATGTGTGCGTCTACTGTGCGAACATAAAGAAAGCTAATTGTTTTACCATGAAAGAAAAAAAAAGAGAAAAAAAAATCTTCCATTGCAATAAGATATAAAACTTGTTACTTAAGACTGGCTACTAAAGACCTACTTGTTCAGTGTACACTGAGGTTAAATAAATGTAATTCAGTAAAATGTACAATTGTAACTGTAGGGACACCATTGTTGCAACTGGGAGGCCGAACTTGATTACACGTTACCATAGCAACCTTTTCCCACCATTTCACAACTGGTTAGACATCATAATAGATACATATCAAAGGGAACTCTTATCTCATTTCAATGTTGCCCATGCATATCAAAATTTACAGGGTTGGTTTTTTTCACAAATTTTCTTCATTCTTTCTGCTATCAGATTTCACTGTTTATTTCTGTTACTATGGTAACATCTCAGCTTGAAATGAAAAGTCCCATTCATGTTTTAGTTGTCAAAGTTTGACAAGAGCAGATGGGATGAATTATATGCTTCAGTTTTAATAACTGCTTGGGTAATGTGGTTGAAAATTACAATGCTTGACATAAGCTGAAATTGCCTGAATTGCATGCAGCAAAAATGATGAAAATGAAATTTTGACCCAACATTTTTATCAGGTTTACAAGTATTTAGAGATACGAATGTTGCATACTGACTAACAAGTCAAATGCACCAACATAATTATTCAAGGACATTTGAATGGTTGTTTTTCACAAAAATTTCCATGTTACTTTACTTTAAAATCATAAAATTGTTGTCATGACAATCACAAAATATAGTAAGCCATAAAAAATTATCAGCCAAGTAAGTTTTATGTGATCAAGAGCCTATTTTCCCTAAAACACCATTCTTTATAACTGCATTTACTTGCTGACCTTATTTGCCTTTCCAATAAATACCTGAATAATTTTGTCATCCTAGTCTGCTAGCTAAGTTACTAATTGAGCTATTACTTGATACCTAGTAGCATCGTAACCTGTAATTAGGTGATTGTTTGTGTGTAAACATGCTAATAGCTCAGAGAAATTTCTGTTCACCTATTCATTGTATCAGATTAAAGTTTTATTTTGTGAAGATTCTTTACAGGGTGGTCACTATAATGTCTCCCATGTGCATTTTGGGCTGCCTCAAAAACTTTTTGACAACACTAAGTCTTCATAGTATGTTTAAAATGACCACCTTAAATTTAAAACAAACTGTCTCAGAGAAAAACTTTTTAGTAATAAGCAAGTAGAATGATTATTGTATACTTTAAATAATTAGCTACTTTCAAACTTTTCTAGGTAGTTTAATATATCAGCTGTGACTGAATTATTGACTCTGTAACAAATTTTAACTTGAAACATTTATGAAAAATTGATGAGTATGGTAGGAAATGTGAAAGTTTTAAGTATTAATAATCCAAATATTTATATTGTGGACATGGAGACGGTAAAAGACTACCACATTTAACTGATGCTCTACGCTTCTACAGTAACTTTATTATCCAGAAAATTGGGCACACCTCAGTCAGGTTTCCTTTGAGCAAATGGAAAAGGAAAATTAAGTTGACGAAAAAATAAGTTTTATAAGCCATTTCAAAATGTTATTTTTTTGGAAATAAAATTAATGAATGAAAGAAAGAAACACTTTAAAACATTTATGGTTATAGGACAAAAATATATTAAGAGATTCCACTAGCTTTAAAATCCAAGACAGCTGACCATTTTTTGTTGACAACAGCATATATAACAACTGAGAACATGAACACTAAAGATATCAGAATAATGTGAATAAAATACAGAATAATAGGTGATGTAACATTAAATGTTATTTGAGGTTTTATTAGTCTAAACCACAATTATCTGTTTGTAGGCGGAAATAATATCCTTAAAGCACAATGATTGGCAAATATAATCTACAGTAAATACTTTACATTACAATGTTATGCACGGATGTTAGGAACTACCCTCTATTGTGAGCGGAAATATACTGTTTGAAAAGGCGTAAAATGAAACAAACAAACAAACAAATATTATGGTATTGAATTGAATTATGTGCAAGTTAAGAAATTATCCCATATTCTGGTCAATGCATGGTGGGCATGAAGGCATCTTAAACAACTATTAAACATTATAATTGTGAGCTATATGATCAGACATTGTTAACATAACTCATGTCATCTTTGTCGATTGGAATGCCTCCAGGGACTTCTGATTCTTTCATGTGAGGAAGCTACTGTATTAAGCTAGGTGGTTCTACAAGTGGGTGCCAGTCACTAGTGCCTGAAGAAGTAATGCACACAGTGGGTACAGTCTTCCATCTCTGGGGAAAGCTCATCCATTTATAAGGAGTGTCAGTTTTAACATAAAACCCAACGAAAAACAAAAATTGATGTACCCTATTTTAATATAACAAATAATATCAGCTTATCACATTGTATGACTGTTCCAATCAGTATATGAGCCGCATCACGACAAAACCAACATAGTGCGTTTGCGACCAGCATGGATCCAGACCAACCTGCGCATCCCCGCAGTCTGATCAGGATCCATGCTGTTTGCTTACCAACTCTATAATAAGTAAAAAAACCGATAGAGAACAGCATGGATCCTGATCAGACTGCGCGGATGCGCAGGCTGGTCTGGATCCATGCTGGTCGCAAACGCACTATGTAGGTTTTGTCGTGACACGGCTCATAGATCAACATGAAACTTGTCAGGGTCCAGCATACCTGTAGTCTCAATATTAATTGAAGTTACATACCTCTTGTTATAAATTTGATAAATATTAAGGGGAAAAATGATAAAAATTTGATAAAATATTTGTGATGATAGTCTAGAATGGCGAAATGAAATCTGATAGCAGTTGTATGTTGAGACAAGTTTGACATAAACATTGATGCATCCCTAGTGCATTAGTAATCTAATCTGTACAACTTGTCATTATCTACGGGGATAATTACCCTTAACAAAATATCTACACTGACATTACTGCCATACCCAGCCTCTTGTCACTGCGGACATACTGTCACATCACACTGGCTCTTGTCACATACGATTGGACTTGTTTTACCACAAGTTTCTCTCTCATTTTCAATCTCGTCACTGCGTTAAAATGTTGTTAGAGCAATTCTTTGAATTTTATTGTTTCCTGTTTGCATTAAGTTCTCTCCTTAGCTTGTGTGATGGTTGACACTAATTTCCTGTAACAGAAAGCAAGGTTGATGATAAATAAATTGTAAAAATGTAAAATGGCATTCAATTGTTTTAGTTAGTTGGAACATTTCTGGATTTTAGATCTTAATTTGTCAGTCCAGAAAATAAAGATATGCAAATGCATTTCAACCTTCTTAAGCATTTCAGTAAAATTTAAAGAAGAAGTAAAAAACAGGTCTTTTTAGAGGAATGTAAAAAAAATATCTACAAATAAGCAGGCAGCCCGTAAGGCATATAACTTTTTATAGGGGATTTTACCTGTTCACTGGGTCATACTGCAAATCTTGACAGCATTGTATTTTATTTTTAATTCTTTTATTTATAATATCCATTACTTTTAATTAAATCATACCTTTAACTGTCTGAAATGTGTGGTAATGCTTTCAGTTTAATTAAGTTTCAGATTAACTAGCAGAGACTACCCTGGTAGTTCATTAGATAGATTCTAGTTGAATAGGCACTAGAGTTTCCTATGGGAGCTTTAACTGCAGATTTGGTTTTTATCTGGTGATGCAAGATTCATTATTTCTGCTATAATTTGTGATTAAAATGATGACTCCAAGTGTTGACATCACTTTAACAAATTGAATATCACTGTGGTCCTACTAACTGCATATAGTCTTCATTATCATCTTCATGCTAAGATCAGAAGTTGTCGGCTGACAGCTTTAGGATCTCTCTTTGATAAAATACGTTTTACAAAATTGCGGATAATCTATAAAATCTTCTGCCTTGTTAATCATTGCCTATTTTGCATGATGCGGTATAGCATGTCATATTTCAGATTACTGCCAATGTAGTGAAGTGACATGATTTGTTCTGATACTTATTTTTGGGGGGTGACGCTAAGGAAACCAAATTGTTACCATAGCAACAGAAAGAGTTACAATCAATAGTAACTTACAGTATTGTGACAGGCATTGATATTTGCCACTTTTCCTAAGCTTGGTCTGTAAATTGCCATTATTTCCCCGGCAGTTGATTACCAAGTACCAAATTAAAAGGAAAGCAGACTTTTATTTTGACAATAGATTTCCTGGTAGTCTAGTAAATCTTGAGCTTATCAGCTGACTGTAGATAGTTGATGAGTTTCATTAACTTTAACTTGTCTATGAAGCAGTTGCTCATTTTTACCAGTTAATTAGTGCTATTGTAGAAGGTAGTTAGTTAATTGGCATAAGGAGAGATAATTGGGTTATTAATGGCATTATAATTTTGCTCACAGACAGGTCAATTGTCATGTGACAATTTTTTACCAAGACTGTTAAGCACATGTTCTTTAAATAGTTATTTATAATGAAATACCACAATACTGATAATACTTTGTTTAACATCTATATTGCTCTCTATTTCAGACAATTGGGAAAGGTTCATTATGGTGTGTGGATCCAGACTACAGACCGAACTTGCTACAGGCTCTCCGGAAAACCCCTTACCACCCGTACCATCAACTTCAGATGCTTGCCAACCCTCCGCCATCACAGCATAGTCATTATCCTTTATATGGGTATGATCTTAATTCTTTATTTACATACTAACAGATATACTTGCATATTTATATTCTGTAAATCCTATACAGAACTGTTACTTTTAACTGTTACTTTTAATTTTATGGGCTGTTATAAAATGTAATAATTTATATAATGAACAAAAGAGGAAAATGCAATTGAAAATAATACAGACTTCCTGAAACAAAGACACTTGACTATCAATTGTTTCTAAAGTGCCAAGCTGGCAAAAGTTAACTTGTGAACTGTCACCTGCTAGAAGTGATAAGATATTAGATAAAGTTTACACTGCTCTGCTCAAGTCTTCACCTGATCTTAAGTCAACCACTTATGGTCACGCTCCCCACTATTATGGTAACATTTTGAGAGATTCAGCCCGTGAAATATGCAGGACCATGCTTTATATTGATATCAAATACCCTCTCAATGAATAACAGCTTGAAATGACTGAAAAAACTTTTGTGCTTTTGTGAAGAGGTTGTGGCTGGTGTGATATCAAATAGCTCAATTATTTCGTCTGATTTGCATACGATAGTATTCTACAATAATGCATTAATTCACTGTTTTAGTAACTAGGCAACAAAGTAACATGAAAAAACAGATACATAGTCAAACAAAAATGACAATTGAATAAATTCCCGCCAGACTATAAAATCCACTTGATGCCACTTTGTTTTAATTTTATCCCAAAAAATAACTCAAGTGCAGTGTCAGAGTAATTTATAGACCCATTATTAATGTTTGATTAACAAGACTTCCTATTTTATACCATAACATAAAACTAAAATCAAGCAGATGTGATAAATTGTGTCAAATAAATTGAAATTTCTAGACTTCTGTTTCAATTTAAAGATTGACCTGGCCTCCATATCCTTTCATACTAGATGTAATGTTTTAAAATTTTTAAAGGAGAAAAAAGCTTTTAAGATCAACTTTTAATTTTACCAAATTTTATTCAACAATTTTCTAGTCCTATAAATATGTTTTAATTATAACACTTAAGCACTCTAAGGGTAAAGGCTGTATTGGTGTAGAGAATTTGTAAGTCAGTCTATTAGTTCATTTACTAAACAACTTGATGTAAAAATAAGTTTTTATGACATCTCTGAAGAAAGCTTAATTGCAATATATTGGTCATAAATGTTTGTATATGCTTTTAATTGATACAAGCATTAATTTATGCTGAAGGCTATTGTACAACATTTAAAGTAATGTATGGAAAGTTACATGTCTTGTCCCTCCAGGCTAAACATTTAACCATTATTACATTTATAAAATTAATTCAGTTGTTATATATTAAAGATCTTATAAATATTGCATAGTTTATTTAAGTTAAATAAAGTCAGTCATTTTCATATTTTCATTATCATTACAAAACATGTAGATAGTTGAAGATTTTTTTTTCTTCCCCCCCCCCCCCCAACAAAAAAACAAACAAACAAATAAGAATACATGTTTTCTGCGAGTAGACTTGTTAATTTGAGACTATAAACGCTGTCACATTAAAATAAGCACAGTGATTTATATACAAGAGATGTAATCTTTGCTTAATTGTCAAAATGTCTTCTATCTTTTTTTAAAGAAAAAATATTGATGTGTGTGCTTTGTTTTCACTTTTTCAAAACATGTCAGATATTATATTCTTGGCAACTTTGCAAAGGATTTGGTCACTTTTTTTACAGTCATAAGATTTAACCAGATGCAGACACAGTATAGGTTTATATTTGCTTTGATATTACCCTATATTACTGGTAATATATCATACATATAGCACAGTTTGCCAGATACTCTAGCTTCATTAACACAACTGAGGAAAAACCTGCCTTGTATCTATAAAGTTTTTATCCACTTATCAGTACCAGTGTCTGTTTCAAAATAAAAACAGATAAACATTGAGAAACATCAATGTTTTAAAGAAACAACAATTGAGTAAAAATGGACATGAAGTTTTGGGCAAAACTTATTTTAAAGTTTGATGATTACTTAGTGTATGTTGGGAGATTTTATTTTACCAACACTTTTTAACCATTTCTTGCCCCTTATAGTATTTTACACATTAAAAAGTATTGGGTTTAAGACATAATTTGAATTTAAAGGAAATAGTTTTTTTGCTGTAAAGAGTGTTGATGATATGTGCTATGATATTCCATTAATGTGACCGCCTCCTTCAGTTTTAAGTGGTACAATGTAGCTTACATTGAAATTATTAAGTGGTACATTTTGGATCTAGTGATAATAAAAAATGACTGTTCAGATTTATACAAGTTTATATACGATATAAAAAATATATGCACAACCATGAACATAGGGCCTTGTTTTGACAGGGACATGGTTTTGTGAATGATAAATAATAATTTACAATGGCTAGACAATTCTATTGTAATATATTTTATAACATACAGGGAAGTTAATGGTGAAAGTTATTTGATTGTATATAAAATTTATGGTGAAGTAAGCAGATTCTGGGTAGAGTTAATTCAAATATTGTATACATTTACTCTGAAATAGGCTGTATCACACCAGTTTTTATGCCCAACTATTAAGAGGGGGAGGGGGCATATAGATTACCCTTGTCCATCCTGCTGTCCCCCCCCATAGACTGACAAAACCATGGTATGTAATAATAATAATGTGGGGACATCCTAGTTCTTTCTAATTTATCATGTTTATTTTATGATTTTTGATGCTATCTGTTCGCTTAAGTATATTTAGCTAGGGATATCCGTGTTTAAAGGACACATATTTATACAAATTGAAATTTATATTCATGGTGATATTATTATATACATCGTGAAATTTTTTTTTGAAGCCTATCTCAATGATTACTTGTTTAATACGTTTTTTATTTTCCCTCTGAATTTCTTTAAAATCAGACAAGGCAATCGCTTAAGATTTTAAGAAAATATAAATCCATAAAATACTCAGTGTTTCTCAGTAGTGTTAGTCTCAATTTATAATCTCAGAAAGATGCTCAACATTTTCTTGCTTGAAATATTTGAAGATTTCTCTAGCATGAGATCCAATAACTATACTTAATGCAGAAAAAATTGAAACTTCGTAAATGGGAGGTATTTGTGGATATTTCAGTGTGATCTTTTTCACTCCCTATTTGTCATTTAAACCAAGTTGACGTGCTGTTTGCTGTTATAATATTATTGCAATTTTCCCAGCAAGCTGCTTCATTTCCATAGAAATGAAAAGGCAATATACAGTGTTTTATTGGTAACTATAGCAACACTGTATATTATAAATAGTATGATTCAATAGAAAACCACTTTTCATGCCCAACTTCCGTGCTTTGTTTATACTGCCTCTTATACCACCTGCCATTTATACCATTTTAATAAATGAAATTTTAATTGCCATGAATTAAAACTTAATTTTATCCCTTTTGAATTTTTAGATATTCATATTTTTTTCGGTGTGTTGTGTTGTGTTGTGTTGAAGATTGGTCAGTATTTTTTTAAAACAAATATTTATTATCGTGTATTTTCAGATTAAAGCCACAGCCATTAGCACCAAGAATTGGACCGAACTCAATATCACCTCGTAAGTGAAATCCTTCTATATATGTCTGAAAATTCACGAGCTGTTTCTTACCAAGTCGTAGGAAGTATTCTTCAGAATTTAACTGGATTTTTTAAGGCACTGACCTTATTTGAATGATTATTAATGAATATATAACATTGAAAGAATAAAATTTCAGTTTTTCTCCATGTTGACAATATTTTCCTCATAAGAATGTTGAAAGTATATGAGTATAATTTCCCTATCATCATTGTTGATATAGTTTATCTATGAATCATCCCATGAACTACAAGGTCAGGATAACTCTTGATACATTATTTATATACAGTGTTTATTCCTTACAGATTTGTTTCCCTTCCTGAGTAGAAGATTAGGACAGTCTCATTTAGACATAGGTAAAAAAAGCAACTTTATATTTCTTTTCCCTGTTGTATCCTTATGTTTACAAAACAAAGGGATGGTATATTTTCCCATGTTAAAACTATACATTTTGGAGTTTGAAAAAACAACACAGGACGGAGACTGTTAAAAAGGGATCGTTAAAAAGAGCTTCCGATACATTAAGGATATGTCTTTGATTGGATAATGACTCAAGGTGGCTCCCATTTTGAGATAAGTGATGCAATCTTCTGTATAACAAAGATCAGTTTTAAGCATGCAAGCTGTTATATGATACTGATCTGAAAAATATTTATTATTGATCATTTAGACAGAAGATGATACTGTTAGAGATAATAGTGCAATTTTCTGGAAGATGAGTAATAATTTCCCTGTCCTTGTGTCCTTGAACAAATATGTTCATTGTTTATTATTTGTTCCCTACAGATCAATGTACATCTCTGATTGTTTCAATACATCTTTGAAAGTTTCAAGAATAAAATAAAGCAGATCCAGATAACAATTTTCTCTAATTTCAAAATTAATAATTTATGTTGTGCATGTAATTGAAATTAGATAGAAATCAAATAGGTTAAGTTAAAATTACTAATTATTTTATATAACTTTTCACTCTGAGGAAATGATATCTAATTTCTACCTTTGTGATTTTCTTTTCATAAATAAAATTCTACTTTTTCAGACAGTGATATAAAAGATGTGGCACAAACCCTGGTATCCCTGAAAAGTTGGAGTAGTAAGTATTTTACTGATTTGAGCTGCATCACGACAAAACCAACATAATGCGTTTGCGACCAGCATGGATCCAGACCAGCCTGTGCGTCCGCACAGTCTGATCAGGATCCATGCTGTTCGCTTACAAACTCTATTACAAATAGAGAAACTGATAGCGAACAGCATAGTTCCTGATCAAACTGCACGGATACGCAGGCTGGTCTGGATCCATGCTGGTCGCAAACGCATTATGGTGGTTTTGTCGTGACGCGGCTCATTTTATTTTTTACCCCACTCATATTACTTTTGATGTTAAATTGACAAGCAAATATATAGTTAGAAAGTAAAGTTTGTTTTGTGGGTTCAGATACCAGCAAGGCTGTACATTTCTTTCATACAAGAAGCTCATGGAATACCTTAATTAATGGACATCCTTGGTTTGTTTGTGCTCCAGTTTAAGCTGGAATTTTGCCATATGATCGTGTTGGTGACCAAAAAAACACAACTAAATAGAATTTTTACTTCTGTATTTTAAAGTTCATATCTATTGGAACCTTGAGTTATAATCATAGTGGAATCTAGGACTGTTCAATACCAGTAAAAGCTGGAAGTTGATAATGTGATTGTGATGATAACCTTAAATACATCTGAAAAGATATTTTTTTAATTTTGTGAATTACTATTCATTTTTATTGATTATATACATTTATGCATTCTTAACACTCTGATATTTGTGGTATTAAAAAATAACAAAAATCTTTTTATTTTTTTCTTTCCAGAAGCCAAGGCTGACAATGCTAATTTTGCTCAGGGATTAAAGAGAAAGCTAGGGTAGGTAGTTTAGTTGTCATAGCAACACTGCATGAAATATCAACTATATTGTTTAAATTTTACATTTTCCACTAATGTTTTTTTTTTTTTCGAATAAAAAAGTATAATTCTGAATAACTGCACTATTAAGTTTAATATTTTTCTATACACACTTGTTCAATGTTAAAAGGAAAACTAAATATTTACATTTTAAAATTTAGGTATAAATATTTATGATGAGAAGAAACATGCATGTTTTTGCTCTTCTATATGGCTCTAGCATTTGCATGAAAAAACAAATTTGGAAAAATGCCAAATCAGCCGAGCATTGATTTTTGGAGTGAACAACTTTAAAAAAGCGGGAAGAAAAAGTGTTATTATCCAAAAAAATCAGCTTTTCCTAAAATCATTATTAACTGGTAGTTTCAAGAAATTGTCAGGAAATTAAATTGATTCTTTAAGACAGCTTAAGAGATTAGGGCTTAAAGTTTGTATTGTGATACAAAAAAAAAAACCCTCAAGATTAATTAACAGAACGCATGATATGTTTAACAGGCTTGTTTTATCAATTTAGGCTTGTAGATTACAGCATGTAATAGATAAATGTAAGTTATATGCAGTTGTGTTTCACAAATACTGGTTGATTTTTTTCTTGTTTTTTTTCCTCCTTTTTTAACACGGATATTGTTGCTATATTTTTGTAACAGTTTGACATAAGTTTGTAGTGGAGTGATATAATTCACTGTAAACCTTTACACTGTATTACTATATAGAGTCATTTTCCTCTCTCTGTTGTATAGTGTGGTGTGATTCAGAGTCTCTGCCATCATAGTTCTCTCCTTGTAGAAACATATTTTGAGCTATTTGTCAATTCATGTTAAAATTGCTTTTTCATCTTAAAAATAGTCTATAAAAAAAGAAATGATTTTCAAGAAACATATTTTGATCAATACATATTAGATCTACAATAGCTTTTTTAAACTAATAAAAAATGATTTTCATTTGATATAAAAACAAAACATTCAGACCAAGTTGTTATTTCCATGCAGTTATTTGTTCTCATTAGTTAATTTGCTTATATTTGCTGCTACAAATTGCCATAGTTCCAACTAGTTCAACATTAAAAATAAAATATTCTTAAATGATAACAGCCAGCTGGATTAATATTATTTTTATATTGGATGCATTCTTTGCTAGCAGTGTAATTATTAAATATATAAGTATTCTAAATTTGACATTAGAATAATCATATATAAACATGTGTCTGAAGGCTTAACTGTATTCAATAGACTAAAGACCTAAATGACCTTTGAAACCTTGTGATCATTTGTTCATATATCACTTTAACTCTACTACCATAAATTCATTTTTAACATGTGCTCGGTTATTTCTTCATATTGTTAGAACCTCACCATTAGTAAATTCACTTGATTAACATAAAATGATAAAATGTGACTGGCTTAGTTTAAAGTAAAAATATAAATAGTTTTGTTCCAGTCGTTACTGTTTTACTTTCCTGCTTCTTTATCCAGTTTATTTTCAAGTTTTAAACATATTTAATATTACACAAATACATATTTGAAGTGGGCTAAAGAAAAAAAAGAAGTTTTTTTTTCGTTTCTTATTTTAAGGTGGATTATAATAGAGATCTTTATCAAAAGTAAACATTGCTCTCAAAAGTAAAACGAGTGAAGGATAGGATTAAAACAATGTTTGAAAAGTAACATCATTTGTGAGAAATGAAAGCTTTTACTATAATTCCTGTATTGAAAGAGAATGAAAATTAATTAATTATTAATAATAAATGAGATGTATTTATCTATTTTAGTGAAATGAATAGCCCAAAGAAAATTCCACAAGGACCAGTTATCTGTACAGATAACCCTAGCGAAGACCATACTTACAGTATCACACGTGTTGAAGCCGACGAGGATGAATATGTCCCAGGTTCACCCGGTTCTTCCATCGATGATGAATACGATTTTGGTTCCGATGATGATATTGATGATTATAGTGACGATGAGTTGAATAATCGTGTTGAACGTCGGCATAACGGTGATAATCTTGATAGTGAAGGAGAAAGTGGGGTTGATGAAGTTGATGGATGCATAAGCAATAATAACAATAATAATGTACGGACTCCGAAACGTGCCAGGTTGTTGGAACATGCAAAACGTCATCGATTTGAGGAAACTAGTGAGGAAGAGAAGAAAAAGATCGAAGAAGGAGCTGATGCATTATTAAACTTAGCTGGAATCTGTTTGTCGCGTCAACACACATTTAATCGGGCAATGATTACAGAAAAACTTGATGGTACCAAAGACTATCCTGAAGATATTGACGATAGTAGTAATTGTTCATCATCTAGTTAATGATGGATATATGTGATAAATGGTTCAGTCTTTAAAACAGCTTATTGCGACACATGAGATTCAGATTCAACTGAAATTATTGTTATAAATTAGGGAAAATTATTGTTATGATTTAAAACTTTTTGTTGATAGGGACAGAAAGCTCTTTGTATGTTTGTTGAAATGGCATATTTGTTGGGTATAAAATTTCTGATGTTTTTTTGTGTATATAAAATGTGTGTTAAGCCAAGGTGATAATAAGCATATCAGCTTACCAAGGTTAATCTTGACTTAAAAAAATGAGATTTTTCTCGGTAAGACGGGAAAGATGGATAATTATTGATGTGTATATAAGCCCAGATTTGACAAGATTAACTCTTGGTAAGTTGATGGTGTTTGATAAGTTAAGTGAAAGAGACACTTATAAAAAAACATTGCTTAAATCTTCCATTATTTCTGTATTGTTGGTGTAGGATAGAAATATTTCATGCTCTCGGTTGTTATAGCAACCAGAATAATGTCTTCCTGGATAAATCATGACCAGATCTCAATCTGTGATGACATTTATGTCGCCAGGTAACGATTATCAGATTTTGTTCAAACAATCGTGATTTTAAATCGCGCACAAACATCCTCAGAAATGCATGTATGATATGTTAGTTTTTGTCTTTTTTTAATGAATTGAATTTGTTATTATCAATCGATTTTAAAATAAATTTACTTTACAGATAATATGTGAACCGGAAAGGATATCAAAATGATATGATTTTTTTTTTATCGATTTCTTTAGCAAATTGTTATAATTTTATATCAATAAGTTACTGTATTTCTGAGGATATTTGTGGCAGTAACAGTTTAGCTCATACATGTGCCAAGCTTACAATATATTGTGTATCATTGCTTTGTGTTATTTTAAGGCCATCATTTGTACCCATCTATAGATAATCCCTTATTAAGAGTTTTTTAGCATTATTTCAAGCAAAAAAATTCATGTAAAATTTTGTAATATTTCTTTAACAAAACTAGTCAATTGAGGCAAAATGTTGACAGAAATCTGTTTGTCTTAAGGTGCTTGTTAAAGATAGAAAAACAAAACAAAATTAAACAAACAAAAAAATAAACAAAATGTTAATTTTAGATTACAAAAATGTGCAATTTTCATTTTACTGTTTTTATGAGGGATTTTTCCTGCCTTATGTGTTCAAGAATTGTTTTTATGATTGCCCCTATTTTCGTTTAATTTTTTCCCTTAGCTGTAGTTAATTGTTTTCAATTTAGTGTCCTTACACTATTTCATAGAGTGATTTTAACGGCAGAAAATTAATCAAACAGGGTCCCCAAATCAAGTGTTCATTTGTTAACTGATATTGAAGTCTGATATTTTTTACTTTTTAAGTTGTCTTATATTGTAGACCATTAGATGAAATTTATTATTTTAGAGGTGAATATTTTACATCCACATATCCTATCCCCTTATATTTGTTCATGAACTGTTTGAAAGAAAAACAACAAATTTTTATGAAACTTTTCCAGAATAGTATTATCCTCATGGCTGTTTATTGTTTTTATATTTTTAAAAGGGTCTCTCCTTTTAATGCATATTTTGACATTGTTGTTTTAAATTCAACGTAGTTTGACCATCGTATTATGATTATAAAAAGCTAGCAACTGTTTTACTATAATTGATATTGCTTAATAAATTCATTTCAATTAAATAATAGTATTACACTTGTATTGTTGAAAAATTTTAATGAACTTGAAGTTAAAGTTGACAGTATTTACAGGAAATTTTTATGCTTTCGATTGAATAAGTTGGTGCATTTTGTATTACCTGTAAGTAATCTGTCTGTTGACAACATCCTCATTCTATTAGATGGAGCTTTAAATTTGTTCTTGGAATATAAAAGATGTCAGAACAAAAGCATTTTGTCATGTTGAAATAATGACCTTTACCTCCTGGTCATTTTTAATGTTAATTCTTTTGTTTGTTTATGAACAGATTTTGGACTACTTAAAGTGTTAAAGAAATACTTCTTTTTCTTATTAATACAATATATATGTTTTAACTACTGCAATTTATAACCTACGTTATGGGGAGATGTTATTAGTGCTATATTTGTTTTGCTCCATTTTTTACAGGATTCTAATTTTATGCAGATTTTAACAAATCAGTTGATATTTTCAATGGAATTTTTCATGAATTCATTCCACTATATTTTATCATAGGAAAATTTGATTTTTGAATGAAAATATTGTACAAGAATGGCCATAAAGGGAGACAACTCCAAAAGTGCTCAGGTGTGTCTGTTTTTGATGTACTCATTTTGTTCCAATATGTAAATACTAAAAAGACAGTGGTTTTCAGTGCTGTTTTCATTATTTTACCATTTGATGTTTTTTTTTCATGTCAAGGTTTATAAAAGCAGCAATACAAAGTTATAATAAAAAAATGTGTAACTATGGTGACGTTCAGTTGACTGGATATTAAAATATTATGATAGAATTGCATTAAATGCAGGTATTTTCATATAATTTCAAAGTTAAAATATAGTAACTTTGTGCAATTGATAAAATTTTAATAAACTAATGCCTTCTTTTCTAGTTTGATTTTAGAATATGAAATATTTACAAGCTGCTTTTACAAATTTGGGCATTCATTATTTTCTTTTTAAGTTGAATATGCATCGTATTTTGTTATGTTGCCATTTTTGTTACATGAAGATCAAATGAAATACTTCATATCTCCATGTTCCATACATTGTTCTGTTGTTGATAATTTGAACATGTTTCATTTGAACATTTTCATTGACTGTTGTTATATACCTTCTCATCATCATCATCATCGGACATTCATTATTGTTATACTAATTTTCATCATTCAAAACCAGGGTCAGGGATTTTCATTTTGTTTTGGTGTATACATTTCATGCTAAAAGATGTTGAAAAATAAACTGCCATTTCTCATGACAACCATTTTAGTTAAACAATTGAGAATTGAAAATCTATGTAATGTAAGATATTTAATTGTTTTATTACATATTAATATATTTGGTTTAATTGAATGATCAAAACATTTTAACATTAATTATTGTCAATAGAATTTTCCATTTCTCCTCAATTTCATAAATAACAATCAATAATAATTGTGTTTATAAATTGTTGAAGATTACGAAACAAAATTTTTATTATACAATTATTAATAATACAATTATTATACAAGTTGAACTCAACATCATTGTTTACATAGATTAGCCAATAAATTCATCAATCACTCCATCCTCATTATACAGATAAGGTATTTTGTTCATTGTCTTCCATTATTTCCTGTACATAAATGTTATGTAGAATTTAGTGATTAATTTTCAGCATACAGCAGTCTGAACTGTGTAAATCATATGCCTCATGTGTTGTTGACAATACACTGAAACTGTGACTTAGTCTCTCCAGTCTGCATTATTTACATTTCCTTTGTAATTGAGAAAAAAAAATATTGTCAAAAAAATAATTTCTAAATTATATTCTTGAAGATTAACCCCAGTGATTTTTCAGAGCAAAGAATTCTAATACATTGTAATGCAAGTAAGCTTTGATAATTACATGTGTATGTTTTTGGTGTTATAAGTCCAATACAAGTTTGAATAATTTAATGACACATGTGAATTATAATATCATGTATTTGTTCTAAATTTTGTAACAAAAATATTCACATGAATGAGAAGAGAATAAAAACTATGTTTAATATTTAAGGATTTGACTGTTTGATGCAGGGCTACTTCACTTTCAGATGTTACAACACATGTTGGCAACTCCATACTTGTTTAACTATTACTAATACATTATAAAGAAAAAAGGTGCAATATGCATTCTTGCTAATTGAGAATAAATTGTGTTCAGAACTATGCCATCAATATGTTATCTTCATGTTCCTCCTCTATTTTCACAGTTAATTTACATGTAGATTTATAAATTTGTATGCCAAAATGCTGTGAGAATCAAGTCAAAGTACACACACAATCAAAATTGATCAATTCTGATAGTGTTATACTATCCTAGATGACTGTGTACAGGTCGAAAGGTTACAACACAAGGATGCAGTGCATTTTATTAAAATGCAAGCTTATTGCAAGATTATTTTATTCCAAATGATTGTAACTTATGACCTGTAATGAAGGACATTGTTTATTTTCTATTTTCCTTCTGAGGATTTCTTCTGTGTTCCATTGTGCAATAATGATAACATACTATACAGAAAACTTGTACAATATTACAATAAATAACATTACAACAGATTTCAGAATTTTGTTTTCTTTTTATTTCTTATATCAATATCATTTTTTCACAGTATTGAACTGTCTAGAAACTTAATGGTATTTGTGTTAGGGGCAACCATGGCCATGTGGTTAAGGTTGTAGACTTCAAACCACTTGCTCCTTACTGCTATGGGTTTGAATCCTCCCAGGGACTTTGGATTCTTTCATGTGAGGAAGTTATCCAGCTAGCTTATGGAACATTGGTGGTTCTAATCAAACAAGCAATTATCATAGTATTGCAAGCAATCCATAAGTCCCCTACCGGTAAGAGCCCAAGCAACATTCTGAAGGGCCATTGGCCATTCACTTAGGTTCCTATTTTAAGTAAATTTGTCGAAAAAGTTCTTTAAAAGTGATCACAGGAAACAGTTTTTATGTACAGACAGACGGACTGAAGGACACTCTAAAGTTATTTTTTAAACATCCCTGTTATCAAAATATAACATTTTTAAAATCCTATCATGATTGAAGAAGTTGGAGTAAAAATTACCAATTTCTCAAAAAAAGTTCAAAAGGGGCATAATTCTGGAAATAGTCTTGCTAGAGTATTGAACACTCACAAATGTTGAGTGATAATAAGAAACATTTATATGAAGTTTGAAGTAGATACATTCAGAAAAAGAAGTTATTAAAAAAACAATGTTTTTTTCATGAAATTTTAAGTTCAAGGGAGGTAATTCTGAAAAATTTTGTGCTAGAGTTGTAAACCTTGTCACATATGATGTGGTTGATGACAAGCAATTTATATTTAAAGTTTGAAGAAAATACCTTAAGAAATAAAGAACTTATAGTGAAAAAACTTAAAAACTAGAATCAGAAATCTTGAAATTCAGTCTATTTGTTGCCATAGCAACAAGAATTTTCAACATAGGAAGATAAGAAAAGAATGTGCATAATTTCTATACCGCCATCTACCCATATGTCAAGTTTCATAAACATATTTTCAGTACTTTTTGTGTTATCACTGGATCCAGGTTATGTGTAAAATTTGCCATATTTTCAGTCTATTTGTTGCCATAGCAACCAGAATTTTCAACATAGGAAGGAAAGAAAAAGACGTGCATAATCTCCATACTGCCATCTATCCATATATCAAGTTTCATAAAAATATTTTCAGTACTTTTTGCGTTGTCGCGGGATCCAGGTTATGTGTAAAATTTGCCATATTTTCAGTCTATTTGTTGCCATAGCAACCAGAATTTTTAACATAGGAAGAAAAGAAAAAGACGTGCATAATCTCCATACTGCCATCTATCCATATATTAAGTTTCATTAAAATATTTTCAGTACTTTTTGCGTTATCGCGGGATCCAGTTTTGTGGACGGACTGACGGACGGACGGACGGACAGACGGACGGACGGACTGACAGACAGACGGACGGAGGGTAAACCTAAAGTCCCCTCCGGTAAACCGGTAGGGGACTAATAATGCATGAAAGAGGGGACCTGAGGTCTTCTTCCACTAATTCTCAGTTATCCAAGGTCAACATACTATACCACATATAACTCCAGATAGAAAAAATTACCAACATATAATCTTCACTGTAGCCAAACTGTATTTGAGATGTGGAGGAATAATAAAATCAAAAATTATTTTTCTTTTGCTGTCAATATTTCCAAACTACTTGATTACGGAAGCACATAAACAGCAAGTTAAAATTGTAATTATAAAAATTAATTTTCAGTATGTACTTTTGTAGACTCTCTTGACCTCATGAAGAAGAGTGCATAACATCTAAAAATCTGTCAAAATTACTTTAGTCACTAACAAAGCATTGAATAAACAGAAAATTTGTTTTGCACCTAAAATTAATTTAATTTACACCAGCTGTAATATTTTCGCATGGTTTATTGCCATTCATGAAATATTTCATCTGGAGTTCACTTTGTGAAATATATGTTGATCTTGTATGCAAAACAAAACAAAATTTAATATCATCTATATGTATGTATTTATTTTGGCAGCTGAAATGCATGATGGCACATGTTGTTTACAAACTTGGTTCAAATCTAATCAAAAACACAGTTGCTATCATGCAGACATTAGACACAGAATGCTTTTTCTGCCATGACACGGTCATGTGTGATTGAATGATATACTATTTTTTTTGCCTCCTGAAGAGTCGCCACTTTGTTCGTCCGTCCGCTTTTCTTGTATGGGACATTACTCTGTAATGTCAACAAGAGGTATCAACATGAAACTTTGTAGGTAGATAGATCTTACTGTGCACAAAAGCCACAACTCTGTCTTTACTAATTTTGGAGTTATTGCCCTTTGTTAATTTTTATCCTTTGAACTTTGTCTGGGACACAACTATAAGAGATATCAACATGAAACTTTGTAGGTAGATAGATCTCATTGGATAGAAGTGCAGTGCAAAAAAACATAACTCTGCCTTGCCTAATTTTGGAGTCATTGCCTTTTGTCCATTTTTACACTGAAGATTTTCCTGGACATAGTTCTGAAAGTATAATAGATATGAACAAGACACCTTGTAGGTAGGTAGATGTGCAGTGCACAAGAACCATAACTCAGCCTTGCCTAATTATGGAGTTATTGACTTAGTTCATATTAACATTTTGAACTTTGTCCAGGACATAACTTTGACACTACTAGAACTCCGCGAGTCTGATGTGTCACCTTGTAAACTATATGTTAGGAGAAATGGCCAGGACAAAAATGAAATATGAAAATTAACAAAGGGCAATAACTCAAAAAATAAGAAGTGCAGAGCAGCAGTTTCTGTGCACTGCACTTCTTATCAATAAGATCTATCATCCTACTTTCTAGTCTATAACTTTTATAATTTATGAGAAATTGCCTGGACAAAAATAAAGTATGTAAATTAACAAAGGGCAGTAACTCAAAAAATAAGAAATGCAAAGTACCGGTTCTTGTGCACTGCACTTCTTCTTAATGAGATCTATCATCCTATGAAGTTTCATGTCCGTACCTTTTATATTTTAGGAGAAATGGCCTGGACAAAATAAAGTATGAAAATTAACAAAGGGCAATAACTCAAAAAATAAGAAATGCAGAGTACGGGTTCTTGTGTACTGCACTTCTTTCTAATGAGATCTATCATCCTATCAAGTTTCATGTTCATAGCTTTTATACTTTAGGAGAAATGGCCTGGACAAAAATAAAGTATGAAAATTAACAAAGGGCAATAACTTAAAAAATAAGAAGTGCAGAGTACCAGTTCTTAAGCACTGCACTTCGGGTCATTATAAGAAGCATGCATACCAAGTTTGAAGTCATTATGACTGACTTATGCCGTGGACAAGCCTAAGGGGATGTGGATGCCGACGCCGCTGACAAAAGTAACCCCTATATGTCGCCTTTTTCAAGACGACACAGTAAGAGATATCAACATGAAACTTTGTAGGTAGACAGATCTCATTAGCTAGATGAGCAGTGCAAAGCAAGTCTGGAATTATTGCACTTTTATGGGACATAAGAAGACAAACAATATGCTGTTTTCTTAAGAAAGGACAAGATGTCTTAAAGACATGACCACGTTCGACAACAATCTCCGCGCCATATTTCAGTATCATTTATTTTTTAAAAACAATGTTGAGTACTTTGCAATAATAAGAATGGTTTCAGCTAGGGCAAAAGAAATGGCTATGATGCACCACATCTAATTATAAGCTCATTCCAACCAAGTTTGATCATAATGTACCAAGCCTCTGATCCATTCAAGATGACCCATGTTGGAACCTGTCCGAGCAATGACTGGGAGATCCTGACCAAGTTTGGTGAAAATTGAGGCAAAAATGTGTCCACTAGTGTTAAACTTAATGACGGACTTTCAATGATCCTAATAGTTAGAGCCAGCTCAGGGGAGCTAAATAAAGAAATGCTTGACCAACTATTCAGTAAGATTTATCCATCTATGACATTTCATGTTAGTTTTTGTTATACTTTATGTTATACTACTATAGAAATTAAATATTTTTGCATAATAGCTCAAAAATTATGCACAAGAAAGTTGGTATGAAACTTGTACTTTTTCTACATAATCTGTCCTTTTATAGCTGATACCTTCTATAGCTATTGGGTAATGCTCTACTGATGGCCAAGACAGACAAACTATTACCTGCATGTCTTCCTTACATGATCCATTCATAATATAATGTCCCATGGTAAAGTACCGGTAATTCCATTGCCTTCCATTGGTTCAAGAGATGCAAAGAATTGTAACTGTTTGATATATACATTGTTACTCTACTGGTCTCCCAATTGTGTTTTAGGCCACATCAAAGATTTTAGTCACATTTATAATCTTTCTTAATAAATAGGAAAGGAAATGTACTACCACAGCCACCAAAAAATCCATTGGTGTGCAAACAGATGGACAGACAACCAGGAGACTGATGATTAGGGGTTAACATTAAAGAATAAACAACATAACACAGCAATTTATTTATGATAATTTATTTCAACAAAAGGCATAAGAACACAAGGTAAAACAAAAATGTCATAATATCCAAAACATAAGATTGAAAGCATAATTTACTATAAAAGTTATCAAAAATAAAATATTCTTATCATATATATATTCAAATATTATAATTAAGCAATATGTTAATGCAATGAATTCTATCAAATAGGTTTACCTGGCACATCCAGCATCAGAACTTGTATGTATTTTTAGATACATAACTGTATAGTTGATAAAAACTTAAAAACTAAATAGCAGACAATAACTTTTGACAGAATAATTCAGATCCATCCTTTTCAAACAAGTCATGTAAAATGTATCTTATAAACATATTTTTTCAACAAGAGGGCCATGAATACCCTTATTTGCTAACCTTAGATACATTGCTGGACCAGGTCACAATTCTTTGATGCAAGTCAGTAATTAGGTTATATTGGGTTGTCATTTAAAAATGATTTTCCCCCCAAGCTGCATAGTACCGGTATTTGAAAAATGTGTAGTTGTCCCCTAGAAAATACTACATGCTAAATG